GAGCAACAAGAAAAAGAGAGAATAGGTATGCGAGTAAAGTTTCCTTCAAATGTTTATTCTATATTCCTTTCTTTCCAGAAAGAGAACGAAATACACCTCTCTCGAATGCACCACAACCAATGATTTCGGATTTCGCAGATGTTGGCATGACTCCATTGACTAATGAGAATAGTGGATTAAATTCGTTAAAAGAAAATATTATTATACCTAGTGTGTATGTGAGAAAACTCCAAGAGCAGGAAGAAAAAGGGAGAATAGGTATGAGTGCTGTTAGCATGCATTTCGCGTGGTGACCTAGCAACGTGCGCCCCATGTGATCACTCACTCCGAACTTGCCCAATATGCCGGCGAGAAACTGAAGCATTTGTACGGGTGTATATTTAAATTCCTACTAACGATGGAAGTTCACCAAGTGTTCCCTTAATTTTTGAGCTGTGACTCAGTTGATCGGGGATAATCGAGCATGCTGATTCCGAATATCAACATGAGACGAACTAATAAGCCTTCAGAGACAAGTTTTCTAGAAAACCAGTTTTCCAGAAACTCCAAAAAATCTCCGAAACTTTTCTTACTAAGTCATGTTTGTAGCGCGTGAAATTCTAATCAAAATGAGACAACTAGTTTTCTAGAAAACCTGTCTCTGAAGGCTTATTAGGCCGTCTCATGTTGATATTCGAAATCAGCATGCTCGATTATCCCCGGTCAACTGAGTCTCAGCTCAAAAATTAAGGGAACGCTTGGTGGCCTTCCCTCGTAAGCCTAAATCCAATGCATCTCATGTACTATGGATTTTCTTTTAGAAACCTCCATATAACTATTTTTCAACTAACTTTTGAAAGGAGAGTACTGGAGATCTGCCGTTTTTGCTCATTAAGAGGGGGGCTCCCCCAAACATGCCCTGAAATTTGGCCAGTTTGTAGAGAACACCTTCGGTGGTATGTCTGTGCTATACAAAACTCGTTGATCAAATATTGACAGAGTTATTGATTAATTAAGTTCAAAATTAATTGAAAGTTTTAGTTTGACAGGGATCTTTTAAAACCTTTCTAGTTGTTGATATAAATGTTACATTCAGTTGATTTTAATATAGTTTTATGGAGAACTATTTGTAGATATAATTCCATACAAAAACAGTTTAAAAACGAGATCTCTGATCCTTTTTTTAATTACTAATTATTTCTGATTAGCACTAATCAGTGGCACTCCAGTGGAAAACCTAAATTTTCCTAATGTCAGAACAAACGAAGTCAAATCATGCGATATATCATTCAATAGAACTTTCGAACTCTACCAATTGTCCGAGCCACTTTATTAAATTTTTGCCTTATTTGTTTGAAAAATTAGTTTTAAATCATTTTTGGAGTCAAAACCCTGACTAATTCTTAATTTTCTCAACCAGAACTCAAGCTCTGTGTAATAAAAAAACATATTCGGAATCAGGATCGAAAACTGAATTGATTGATGTGTATTTCGAAATTGTTAGTTCAATTTTGTTCAAAAGGGAAAGATCTAGAAATATTTCAATCAAGCATATCTTTCCACCATGCATGATTCAAATATGAGAGACTAATTTTGTTCTCGAATGGATAGTCCAGTTTATGATTTAAAGTAACCGTATAGTACTGTATCGCTTCTTTATAAACGATGATGCGATGAATAGCAAAGCAACATTTCTCTGTTTTACAATTCATCAGCATTTTCAACTAACTTTTATCTCTCTAGGGTTTACAGAATCTAAACTATTTTATATCTGATGTCATCGAAGTGGGAATTTCGCTGCATAAGGCGAATTTTCATCACAGTAGAGGTGAACTTTCGTCACATTCGCCACCCATTCGCAAAATAAAGCGTGGCAAGGTACGCGTCACATATAAATAACGCTATGCAACGGGGAGAGAAACGATTGTATTGTGTGCCTACAAAGGTACTTATGTATAACGAAACTTCCAGTCCTTGTAACGCTTCTTTTTCACGTTACGGCGTGTGGCTAAGGTTCAGTCTGAACTTTTAAGAAAAACGGCATTTCCGTCACACTCAACGGAACTCGTCAGGTTAGGTGATTTTTCGTCACATATGACAAGTAATAAAACTTATTAGTTATTATCAGGAAACAAGTAATAAATCTCATTACCTTATTACTTATTACGTTTTTCAAGTAAAAATCTTTTATTACTTAATTTATTACTAATAAGACGAAAGGTAATAAAAGTAGGAAATAGTAGAGCTTTTCAGAATCTAAACTATTTTATAAGGTCACTTTTGTAGTAAAATCATGATCATTTTTCGTCACATCAACAAGAAATTCACGGGAACTTAGGTCACCATGCTTTTTTCTGAAAAACGCACTTTCGTCACATGTGACTAAAGTACACTCCGTTTATCTAAAGTGACGATAATTTCTAAGCTAAAAGTCATCCACTATGTCTAAGAACCCACTGTTACTCTTACCGTAGGAACTGCTAGCTGCCGACTTGTGCTTTGACTGAGACCGCTTTCTGATCCAGAGACAAAGCTGTCTGTTGAAACGAATGGTAAGTAAGTTATTCGCTTTCTGAAATAATTTCATTTTATCCAATCATTTTGTCCAGATCGAAGTCGATCATATTCAGATGGAAGTGATGGTGAGTTGATTTTGTTGCATAATTCGCATTTAACCGTTTTTTGTAATTTCAGACCTGTCAAGGGCCTTGCTAAACCAAACGGCTTGTCGACGTAACTCGAGACTTCGCTGATCAAGTTTTTGAAAAAATTACTTTAGAGTAGAACTGAAAGGAGCATATGCCAGAGCATTCTGCTCTAAGACGTTCTTCATTTCGTTCATCATTTTTTTGTTGTCACTATTATTTCCTGTCGTTTAAAGAATATACATTTTTAGCCCTCAGCGATCTTCTGACTCAAGGCTAACATTATGGCGACTCATGACACTTTTTCATAATCTAACATTTGAAAAAGCAACGAACTTAAGAATTAAAGTAGATTACATTAAACTAGTCGTCGTCCTTCGTCATTGTCATTTTATAGTAACGTTTTTCGTCGTAATTCATCTCGTAATTAAACTAAACAACATTACTTCAGTCTTAGGAAATCAAGGTAAAAAACGTTTTTCAGTTTTTGCGCACTAAGGACTCTTGTGAGAAATCCGTCGTATTTTCCCTATATGTAAGTTTAAGATCTGCAAAGATCGTCGACACAAAGCGATTGTGTTGAAGCTCACTTCTTCTAGCATTCCGAATTTACAAAACGGCATCAGGAACTAGAAATCCAATACAACAAAGGAACGAGCCACTACTATCTCATGAAATTATCACAAATAAGAAACATGATCAGTTAAACTCATCTGCTTCGTTAAGAGAACAGTTGTTAAAAGATTCAGGTAATGAATCGTCGATAAATCAAACATCACTTCTCTCGTCTTCGATGATCATTTTTGATATGTCTGATTTAGTTTTAACGTTAGCACGTAAAAAACATTACGAAGATTTACCCACATTTTCTGGTCATTCATCTGATGATACAGAACGTTTTCTAAAAAGTATTAAAGTGATAACAACAAGTGATAGAATAAACGACGACAGTGAACGTTTACAAATAGTGCGTGGGAAACTGACACATTCAGCAGGAAGATGGTTTGATGATGATCAACAAGTAATTAAAACATGGGATTAGTTTGAAGAACAATTTCGACACCGTTATTCTTCCACAACGATTGCTCAATCAAAATTTGAAAAATTGAAACAACGAAACCAGGAAGAAAACGAGTCTGTAACTCAGTATTTCGACGAAGTGATTAATTTGTGTCGAGACAGTGATCCGAAAATGACCGAAGAAACTATTATAAAACATTTAATGAGCGGCTTAAATGTAGAATTCCGCAAGGAATTGTCACGTGTGAATCTACCGCTAGATAAAGTACAAGAATTTTTAGTTAAAGCTAAAAAGAAAGAAGATTTGTATCGAGCATTTACGAATTTTTGAGCAACTCAGTATTCAGTCTCCAAAACCATATTTTTCTTTTAACTCAGAGCCTAACTCATTAATGGTGACAATTAATCAAAAGCAATATCGTCGTCCTAGCTCACAAATTAATCATTTATTATATGATAAGAGTTCGTAAAATGCGAACTATTTGCACAAAGATTCTTATCAGAATCGTCGAGGGTCATATGAAGCGCACTCTTCAGGTTCGAAACTCAACCGTTTTGAACCGTGTAAAGTTTGTGGAAAACAAAATCATTTAACCATAAACTGTTTTAATCGTAAAGCATCTGGTTGTTTCAATTGCGGACATAATCACGCAGTCCGTGGTTGTAGAGAACCGCCACATTTTCAAAAACTGGGACACGTGATGGTAGTGTTTCCAGTAAATCGTCCGAGCCATCAAAAATTCTCGCAACATCACCACACAATAATACATCAAGATCTGCACAAAACTATCCATCATAAAAAATTAATTGCTGATTAATCCTCAGAATCGATCCTGATCGATTCTGAGGATTAATCAGCAGAATCTTAGCAGAATGATCTTTAATATTGAGTAGTGTATTTGGAATTAATATTAATTTCGAAATAAAACTCTTATGTGGCTCAAACATGACATTTTGCCCGTTTTCTAATTGTAATTTCACATCGATGAGCTTTTCCGATGATGAAGGTATTGTTACTGTTTCCGCTACGAAGACCGGATAATATAAATCTGGTGGATCCAAATACACTACTCAATATTAAAGATCATTCTGCTAAGATTCTGCTGATTAATCCTCAGAATCGTCCTAAAACATTATCAAGGAATACAAAAATAGGGGCAATATCAATTGATTAAAAATTCGAAGTCTGTCTAACTTTGACACATTCACCTTCGAATAGTAGAACAGGTATGAATAAAGGACCCACATTCGCCTATAATCATCGTGAGTTAAAAGTTAGTAATCAATGTACTAAGTGTCAGAGGAATTTTCTCAGTGGTAATGATCTGCAAGTTCATCTTTGAGATTCGTGTTATCCTGAAGACATACGGACAAACATCACAAATTTAACACAGCATCTCGAGAATCCAGCCCAGCTAAAACAAATCCAAGATATTCTTTGGAGGTATAAAAGTCTTTTTGATCCGAATCCGTCAATAATTGATATTCCGCTACAATCAGCTATCAAGACCGGTGACCATCCACCTGTTTATAGCAAGCAATATCCTGTTTCAGCAGCTGATCAAAAAATTAAGACCGAAGAAGTCAAGCAATTGTTGTAACGTGGACAAATTGAAGAAAGTACGTCACCGTGGTCCTCATCCGTTGTTTTAGTTAAGAAAAAGGACAAGACTGTCCGTTTTTGTATTGACTATAGTCGCCTCAATAATATCACAATAAAAGACAAATTTCCATCGCCCAAAATAGAAGAAATGTTTGATTAGTTATCTGATTCTGTATTTTTTACTAAATTTGACTTTTACAGTGATTATTTTCAGATCCCCTTGCGCGGGAGGATCGTCAAAAGACCGCATTCTCGACGCGGCACAACCATTTTCAATTTAAAGTTTTGCCTCAGAGCATTACCAATGGTCCTGCGGTTTTCCAACGCATTATTAACCAGATATTAGGTCCTTCCAGGCGGAAATTTGCGTTAGCCTATATAGACGATGTAATCATTTACTCAAAAACATTGATGAGCATTTAGTAATAATGGTGGTTATAATAAAGTACCTGGTCGTGTTCTACAATTTAGTATAATATCTTCAACATGTTCGCGCCATCTCAGATTAGAACTGACTTTTAGGCCTAGGAGTATAAGGGAAGGTTGGTGTGTTATGGTTGTACCATATCTTAGTGTGAACTGTAAATTATTAGCTCTACTTGGTGTATTAGAGATAAACATCCAGGCACACTTATTTGCGTTTAAAGACATCAGATTGGATGTACACCAGTTACAAATTTTCTCATTATTTTCTTGACATACAGTTGGCATATCAGACGAGGCCATTACAGTCATCAGCGAAAAGTATGCTATCTGCTGGCAATTGGACTACAGTTGGTAGTTCATTTATGAAGATAAGGAAAAGTAAAGCACCAAGAAGTGAACCTTGTACTACCGCGCAGAGCACTGGCGTAGGCGTAGATAAAGCAGCGCCAACGCGTACTTGCTGGGAGCGGTTAGTCAAATAACTAGTAAACCATTTTAGCACATCCGATGACAAACCTAACAGCGCTAAATGCGAAAGAATAATTTGAGACGAGACTTTGTCAAAGGCTTTCGCTAAATCAAACGCAACCAAGATGGTATCTACTGGTGATTGTGTATTTAAATTCTATAGATATACATACATATTCTGATAAAAGATACAAATCCATATTTTACAATGTATCGCTTTAACTGCCTAATTTTTCTGTACTCGTCAAAGCAGTTTAAAATAATTTTCACGAAATTTAGATATACCCTTTTAAGTTTCGTCATAGAGATTTCTTCTTAGAGAGTAGTTAATCATCAAAATGTTAGCGTTCTTCAAAATTTTTAATTTTTCAAAGCCACTAAATTTTTAATAAAACAGTTTTTTTGGCAGTTCATGTTGTTTCGAAGACTAAAAAGGGTTTTTCTTCATTACGCAACTATTCTACAAACGAGTCTTCCGCGAACAACACCCCAACTCTTTCGCGAATTTTTCATAATACGAAGGACGTGCACGATAAGAGTCAATATCGGTCCACTCTAAAATCAGTCCTATCTAATGCAGTTTTTGTCCGCAATTAACGCTAACACACTTTTAGACCTTAAAAATCCTTTTCAGCGTCCCTGAAAACATGTTAGCAAAAAACAACTCTTCTTGCGTCAAATGACCTTTAATTTTCATTGTTCGACCTTTCACATCTAGAGAAAATATCAACTATTATACACCATTCGATAGAGAATTTCATGAGCTACAAAATGAAATCTAAGACCGTTACAAGAAAATGCAACTGGGTGGTTTACGATCCGAGACACTCGGTACTATCCAAGCAAACCGGTAGGTCAACCTCATTCATATTTGTATCATCCATTTAATTTGCCCTTAAGCACTCTTCTTTAGAGAATTTTAAGGGCCACAAAATGGTTTATAAGACAGTCACAAGGAAACATAACTACGTGTTGGTAGACCTAAGTCAATTGCTCGATTCCTGGGCTTGTTTTTATTTCCAGGACATCTTTCTTACTATACACTGGATTTCACCTCACTTCCGCCAGTTCTCCGTAGAATTGATCGTACGTTCCTTAACGGTACCCAGTGGGAGCTGAGGAACTGTCGCCAGAACTGAGTAAAGTCCTCGATTCTCCAGCTATTTTTTCTTTTTCCTGGAAATATTTCTTACTATATACTCACTGCAACTCGTTTGAAAACTATTTCGCTACATTCCCTAATCATTTCCTCGACGGTTCAGTCACAAGTCCTCATCTTTTTCAACATTAGTTCCCCGCCAAAAACGTTTGCGATCTTTCACTCAGCAAACTTTTCCTGCATGACTTTTTGCTAGTCGGTTCGCCTATACACTCTATTCCACCAGTTCCCGGGGGAGCTGATGGTAGCTTCTTCCCAGATACCCAGTAGGAACTGAGATAATTCCTCGATTCGTCGGCTTTTTTTACTTTTTCCAAGAAAGGTTTGTGTTTATGATTGCTATTGCATTGCAACATACAGAGTCTAACTGATAGTCAGTTCCCTAACGGGGAACTGAGTATCAGTTCAACTCATTTCCTCAGTTCCTTATCTTAGGTATTGTCATGAGCTCATTTCCGTCGAAGAAATCGAGGAATTAGGATGGTATTGTGGGTGTAATATTTATGTCATTTCCTTGTCACATTAATACCTAAAGGGAAATTGTTTAGGAAATATCGAGGAAATGTGTAGTGAATGATAGTCATTTCTCAATTCCTCAAAAATTGCGCCTTCCTTTTCCCAATATGTGAAATTCTTTGCTCTTTAATCTATGCTAATGTAACCTAATGTGTGCTTGTTTCATCGTCAACACAACGCACGAAGAAATTCCGTGATCTCTCCTTGATTTTAACAGGAATAATAATACTGTTCTCCCTGAAAAGAAAAACTAGAAGTAGTGGTTTACATTTTGATTGATTAACCTGTTTTCTAGGCTAAATTTTGCAAGTGTTGTTGAGAAACTTTATTGTACAAATTTATTATTAAACTTTATTATTCGTATGTCGTGGGAAGGGGGACGTGACGTCTCGAAACCTAGAAGAATATATATACAAAATTTACATATACATATGTTTGTATATATATATATATATAGAATATAATTAGCTGTGAACTGAAAATAACACTACTACTCTATTTGTGTTCACAGCGAACTTATATTGTACATAGTATGTTTCGGCGTGAGAAAAACATTCTAATAAGATAAATGCTTGTTTTATCGACGCCGTCACGGACCTTTTCCCGTTATCGCGATAATTACTTTATAATAAAAGATTCTAAAAAAGGAATAAGAATACAATCGAATCAATAATAATTGTTCCATGAAAGGTCAAGAAAAAGAAACATTTCTAAGTATTTGACTTTCTCATAAAGCGCTGCTAGATTAACGTTTCTACCGAGTTTTATTTTTAAATCAAAGGCACATATTCTGATTCAGTTTTCTGCACTGATCACGAATATCGCCCTTTTATTTCGATTTGAGCGCCTC